AAGATTGTTACTTACCATGTTGTTCTTTAACATGAGACTTACTGTGGACATATATCAGGATTGTTACTTACCATGTTGTTCTTTAACATGAGACTTACTGTGGACATGTATCAAGATTGTTACTTACCATGTCGTTCTTTAACATGAGACTTACTGTGGACATGTATCAAGATTGTTACTTACCATGTTGTTCTTTAACACGAGACTTACTGTGGACATGTATCAAGATTGTTACGTACCATGTCGTTCTTTAACATGAGACTTACTGTGGACATGTATCAAGATGGTTACTTACCATGTCGTTCTTTAACATGAGACTTACTGTGGACATGTATCAAGATTGTTACGTACCATGTCGTTCTTTAACATAAAACATATACTATCAGTGTGATCCTTCATACTGCAGTAACCCTACTTTGTAGTCAAACAATCGGTATGATTCGTTACATTCCGGTCTTACTGAATTACCCTTTATTAAAATTGATATCATATGATGTAACAGTTTTCATCAATTTTGAAAAGGAATGGTATGATGTTTTTGTGATTTTTAATTAAATTAAAACTGTGTAGATAGAACCTTTGTATATATATTTGTTATTTATCTGTTCTTTAATAACAATTCATTTTGGTTGCTGAACAGACTTGCTCTTATAATTTGTCTATTTGTTTTAAAGGGAATTTAATATGAGCATACAATTTAAGTGTTTATAGTTTATTAAGCTAAAATAACCAGTTGTTTTTTAATACTCCTAAAGGAATTTAAAGAAGAAATGTAAATTGTAAATTAGAACTATACTTTTGTCTTAGTGAAGTTTTTAAAAATGCGGAATAGGTTTATAAGATTTCGGAAGTTGAACATTTGATCCGTGCTGATAATTTTTCTTAATCTCCGAAACTTTCTCAACTTTTTACCTCTTAAAAAGTTCAAGATTAAAGCTGTATTAGCCATAAAAAAAAATCAAAGCTAGCGTATTTCAAGGAAAGTATTTTTTTTAGGTTTTCTATTTGTTCCGTTTGTCACGTAGTTTGTTCTATGTTCAGTACATTTGACTGTTTGTTTCGGAATCAAAATGATTCCCAAACTAGCGTGAAATATATGTTAAAATATTTCTAGGTAAAAGAAGATACAACATCAAACTTTGGAAAACTTTCACAGACTGTTTCAACTGTTTGCCAGTAGCTGCGATTGTTGATGAAAAGATCTTTTCTTGCCACGGAGGTTCGTAAATATCAGTACCTTTCTAGTTTTTCTCAAACTACATGTATTTAAAGTGTGTGTGTATGATTACCCCAGGTTTAGTATATGCAGCTGTCAGTAGTAATACTGGTAACAAATGTTTTTATGACTTTCTCACACCGAAAGTGTCAATAGGTTATAGATTATTTGACTGTTCAGTGTGAAAACAGAACCAGTCTTTTTGTATTAAAGCTATGATGCTAACTTTAGGATGTACGGATGACTAGCGAAATGCTTCTGATCTCCCAGATTGATGCATATTAGGCCTTTATAAATATCTATGATATAATGCGTTTGAATTTTCTTCTCAGCTTGCAAAGTCCCAGAAATCTGGTAGATTCGCAAGTAATATTCCACTTATTTCATAAAGTAATTCAAGATAACCTTTATATAAACTATTGTACTTTGTAGACCTGTGTGCACTAGTTGTGATATATTTGGAACTTTAGTTTTGATGGCAAATTCTGAACCAGCCCAAAACAGTGAAGTGTATGGACTAAAACTAAGGTGCACAAACTGTAGAGCATGTCCACTTTTGGGGGCATGCAACTATAATTGTAGGAGCATAAAAATTATATCTGAAAGTACAAATTTGAAAATAAACAAATTTTGAAAATCACTGTACAAATATTACTAATGATATAGTAACAAGAATTAACATAGGAAAATGACATGTACAGTATGTAAGACAAATAGGTTATACAGGGTGCAACAAAACGCATGTTTAGAAAGGGGGACACCTTCAGAAAGTTTGTGCACCCCCTGGGAAACTAATAAAGTTGGGCATAATCATGTAAGTTATCCACATTAATATATATATATGTTACAAGAACACCATTTTTTTGTAAAAAATACAAATACTTGCATAAAACGTAAATTATTTTCTAAAAACTTGGGCTGTTTAATGATTTCCAAGTTAGTAATCAAAAAGTTTTAAACAATGTGTAAACTATGCAGCATAATAAAGTACTAATTAATATTTTGGACAGGCTTAAGTCCAGATCTTCAGTCCATGGAGCAGATCCGTCGTATCATGCGACCTACAGACGTGCCGGACCAAGGCCTCTTATGCGATTTACTGTGGTCAGATCCAGAAAAAGATGTTATGGGATGGGGAGAAAATGATCGTGGTGTTTCTTATACCTTTGGTGCTGATGTAGTTGCCAAGTTCTTAAACAAACATGATCTGGATTTAATATGTAGAGCTCACCAGGTTAGTCGGCGAGAAACATTCCGATTCTGTACCGACCGTTAAAGATTTGCTAAAAATAATTTGACAATTTACAGCTAATATTTGTTTCTGTAACGTTTTGCCAAAATTCCATTTTTACTATAAGACTTGTACAGTTGTTGTTGTGCTTCGAGTTTATTATTTAGTCATTATATGTGTAATATATTGTACAAAGAAAAGTACCCGTCCCCAGTGATGGGAAAAAGTTAATCTCTCAATTTAAATTATTTCATGGACTTTAAAAAGGTTAATTGTGTTGCACTCTTGGTTTCACTCAGAGCCAAAGCTCTAAGCTACTTATACTGCCCTCTGCATAAAATAGTTGTTGAGCATTTCAGTCATGCTAAGAGCCGCTCAACAATAACGTACAGTAAATCTACATTTTTGTTCTTTAAATTACGTCACATTTTGAAATGTGAATGATAGTGTGATTAATTCCTAACAGTTTAGTATAGAATATCCTGCTTGCGAAATAAAGTTTGGCATCAACATTAGTCATGCCTGTTCTTCCATCATTTCAATAGTGAATGTTGAGCTTTGCCTGCTTGTGCAGCTTTTGAAACGCAGCGTGGGAAGTGGCTACCATAAACAGGAGATAGGGGAATGCTTGGACAGACACCATGATTTGCAATATGTATAAGTTCATTATATACTAACAAAAATGTTATTTTTTAAGAAGAGGATAACCTTTGTACACATTTTGATGTATAAATACGTATATAATTTTAATATGATATAAGGTAAGATGTTGTAAACTGAAATTTAACAATCAGTACTTGTTTTATTGGTATTCAAAAAGAATGTTGTTAGAGAAAACAGTTTTTACTAAAATACATTCAAACACCTACTAGAATCATGTTGAATGTTTATGATGAGGTTGTTTTATAATAAGCTTATAGATTTTCTTCTCCTTGATTAACTTACAGTTTAACAAACAATATTTTGTGTGCTAACCAACATTCAATTTGTTACAATGGTAGGCAAAGTACTCTCTAAACTGTATGCACTCGCAGTTGCACAGTAAAGTTGCATGCGTCACACACGTCACGAGCTATGTCATAGCTCACACTTATGTATGTGTCAGTTGTTGTTTTGAATTTTAATTGCTTTTATTTGTCATTTTCTGTAAACGTCTTGAGTTTAGAATATGTTTGTTTTTTGAAAACTTCAAAAATGTATATTGTTTTGAATTTTTTTTTTTTTTAACATCAAAAACAAAACCTCTGGGGATTTATTAGCAGGAGCTTGAGTTCTTTAAATACTGTAGACTGTACTGCACTGGTAATTTGGTGCTTCCTACACTAACTGTAGAATATGCAGGTAATTTTCCTTTATTTAGTGTTACACAATAATCACGGCCGTCTGGTCACATTTGTGGTATTATAGGGCTATATGACATAGACAGAAATATATCATTTCAGTGGGTTTGCACAACTGTGGCAATGTTACAGTGAGCTACTTGGATAAACGAGAATGAAGAATAACCTGATACGTCTAAATGAAAACTTTTTCTACTTTATTTCGAGCAGATGCCATTCCTAACACAGTAAAAAGTGTGTTACAATGGAATTAGACTCAAGAATAATCAACATTATTCAATTATTTCTGAGTATATTTCCATTGTAAAATGACCTTTCTTGCCCGACAAAGGCCATCTGCTTGAAACATCGCAGAAGATTAACTAAAGAAAGTTTTTATTTAGATGTGCCGTCTTATTCTCTATTATCATTTATCCAAGTTTTTCTTCTCACATCTTGTGGAACAACACTCATAATGGTGAGTTAGTTCAGTGTATGTAGCCTTGAAGAGTGTAAGAACAAAACAGTAGAGCTCACCTGAGTCTAGTCCAATCAGTATAAGGAAACTTTAATGGGAACATTGGTGATAGTTCTTAAAAAAAATGGTGATTTTTTTCAAATTCGATGATGAGGAACCCACTTTGAGACTAATAATGCTTGGAGACAGCTTGAATGGGTAATGAAGAAAAACTTTAATATAAGTTTAACATAACATGAAATGTACAACGTTTCGACAAGGTTTTGTCATCATTTGTACATTTGCTGTTATGTTAAACTTATATTAAAGTTTTTCTTCATTGCCCATTAAAGCCATCTCCAAGCACTATAAATGATGATTTTATCAACATCCACTTTATTGCAATGAGGTTTTTTTTTAACAGTATTTTTAATATTTATTGTATTGTAAAGATAGTTTCTTTACCAATGAAAGTTTTTCCAATTTGTACTTTATTGTGGTAACAGGTGGTAGAAGATGGTTATGAATTCTTTGCGAAGCGTCAGTTGGTTACCCTTTTCTCAGCTCCAAATTATTGTGGCGAGTTCGACAATGCAGGAGCTATGATGAGCATTGATGAAACTCTTATGTGCTCATTTCAGGCAAGTTGACGAGTTCACTAACTTGTTTCAGTAACATAGCTACATTTTATGTTTTTTATAAGCTATTTGCCACCGTCTAATAAACTGTAGAACAAATATGTTTTTGTTTTCTACAATTTTATATTAAAATTTTTTTCAAGTGTTAACCAACTAATGAGATTGTATGATCACATATGTACTTTTATATGTTTATACAGTGGGGGATGAAACATAACATACTGTTGTTGTCTGTTACTAAATTGCAAATTAATATTTATATCGTTAAGGAAAAAAATCCACCACATTTAAAAAATAATTCCAATCTAATCATTTTTGAATTATCTTTTTTTTACTTATTAGAAATATTGTTTACCTTTTAGATTCTGAAACCTGCAGACAAAAAGAATTTTCCATATAGCAAGACGGCATCTAATCGACCAAATACGCCACCTAGAGGCCAAGTCGGTAAGAAAAACAGCAAAAAATGATGACCGATTACCTTTTCTGCATGAAGAACTTTAATAGTTTGAAATACTTTGTATTGTGGATGATCGTATAGGTAGTGGTTTGAATTCATGTCAATCTTTCAGTAGTTGCAGGGGGTCATGTTACACCAGTGGTCACAGTGTGTGTGGGGGGAATGTAGAAAACTTCAATGTTTAATAATGATTTTCCCTCGTGTTAATAATCATTTGTATTGTAAAGTTTATTATTTATTATAAAGGAATATTATAAAATCATGGGTACACTATAGATGCGTATGCTTAATCACATGCACATGATTTTAAGGACCAGGTAGTAAGGGTATCAAGCTCCTAATGTGCGTCATGCCACAACTGAAGGGTTAAGAATAGGAGATCTATGAACAAAAGACAAATAATTTTGCAGTTCAGTTCCAGTGTTTTATTGCTTTATAATATGAAACTTAAGAAATCGTCATCACGTCTTGTATCTTGTACATTTACAAACGATAACTATGAATTTAAGTTTCAAACTCATTATGATATAAAGCGACCATAGACTTGTACACGGTTTTGGGCTTGTATTCACTTGTAGACTCTTACATTTCACCAATATATGTAGACACGTTCACATACAGTAAAAACTTCAAATCTGGTCCTTTATTTTGTAAATTTCAAGTTTCTTTTTTCATTGACTAATATATCAGTTGCTTTTTTATGTCTATCTCCTTAAACCTTGATATGCTGCTTAGAAAAGTCATTCGTGCATTTTAAATGTAACAAAATAAAATTCATATTATTATCAACTTTGACTAACTATTTTTTTTTGTAAATGCACAAGTACATTATCTTATTCTTGTATCGAATATCTTTAGGGTTCAAGAACCGTGAATATCTTAAATTAACTTAATAGTTTTTACTAAGAATGTGTGTAATGTTGTTTAAAGAAGTATACTTTTCTCTTAGATTACGTTTCTATGTATATATAAAGATAATATTACACAGTGGTATAAGATTTAAAAAATTAACTATCTTCATTAACGTTCTGTCAGTCGATCATTTTTGATGATAAACTTCGAGCACTGGACAAAAACCTGAAAAAGCACACCTGGTCTTTCAAAGACTAAAAATCAGCCCTTCAGTTTCTGTTTGCACAAGGAGTGTAGCTTTATGTTTACCGAGGTGTTTTAGCTATGCGGATAGTGGCTCAAATTGTAATTATTGCTCTTCCTGCATGCGCAACTACCAAAATTTTGTCAGTCAATACTCCTTTGAGAAGCAATGTTATAGTATAGTCCAAATGATGAACTTTTCATGTCTTTAAAATACATTCTTCAGAAGGTTTTGTTTTTTCTTTACTAAACTGCAATCATTAGTATGTGGATTAAGGTATTATGAATACTAGGCATTTTAGCTAAACATTTTCAGACAAGTTTTTGAAAAATTTCATTTTGTATTTACACAATCTGTTATTTTTAAAGGCATAGATACTTAGTTTTGTACGGATTAACTTATTTCAAAGTATACCACTTGCTCTGGTTCGCTATTTGAACTTCGGTCAAAATTGCTGGTGCCCATATCTCTTAATTTATTTCTTTTTTTAGGTGTAAAATTTTTGTTTTAATTAATGGTAGTTTTGATGTATTTGCATATAAAAATGCTACAATTATTACAACTCAAGATAAAGGACTGTAAGTTTATAATGAAAGGAAGAAACTTGTGAATTGTTTCAATATTAGATGTTTGTGTAGTTCTGAAATTTTAATTTGATGGATTGTATCCATATGACACCGACTGGCAGTAGTTTAGGGAAGTTACTAAAATAGTTATTTCTTAAGAAGTTAAGACCATTCTGTCCAGTCTTATAGGCTGCTGTTTGCCAAACTGTTTCTTTGTTTATAATTTCTATTTTATATATGACATGTGGCTGTTTGATATTTTTGTATCTTGTTTTAACAGAATTTCACTGTTGGCAACATATGGAAAGTGTTTGTTTAGCCGATACATTCTTGTTTTTTTGTATATTTCTAGAAAGACAACTGAAGAGTATTAATTTGATGTAAACCTTTTAGTAATTTCAACAATATTTGATTCACGTAAAACTGTTATTTTGTGTATGTGGCAAGTTCATGCCTTGTTGTTTGCCACTGTTCTAAGCTATATTATTTCAGGAAAGTATACCATTTGTTAAAGTAAATTTTAGATGTAAGAATTTTATAAAATAATAATTTCTCCAATTTCCTACTTGGGCATGAGAAATCATTTGTTCCTGAACCAGATCTTATGAAACATACCTGTTGAGGACCACTAAGATTTTTTCCATGTGTCAGCATTATTTCTGAATTTTTAGTGTCCTTTAAATGTTAAGAAGGCCAAATCACAGTCTTTAGGTACATAATAACAGATTTTGCCATCTTTATAAAAAAAAAACAACAACAACAATTTGCATAGCATTGTAAGTGTTGAAACAGTTGTGAATAATTTAATCCAGTCACGCAATAGGGTAAAATACAAATAATACTAATTGTAACGAACTGCCAAAGTTTATAAATTGAAATTTAAGGTTTACTTTATAAGAATTATTAGTGAAAAAATTAAAATATTCTTTAAAAAAGCACAATATAACCTTCTAGTAAGAAGAATATATTAACTCTTAAGTCGCACCTTTTTTTTTTTTTTTTTTTTGTATTTTTGGTCATATTCCCAAAAACCTCGTACTTAAAAAGTTCTAGTTCTCTACTGAAATGAAGGTTTTATTATACACTCTACATTAAAAATCTTTTTTTTGTCATTTTCGATAGTAAATGTATATCCTTGTAATCAGTAGTTGTTTTCTTCGCCATCAATACGGGAAGTGTGTAGCAGTGTTAAGAAGTTTAATCTTGAAGTCAATTTTAGGAAGTACATTTTTTTACATATTGGTTTTTGGGAATGATTTATGCACTTTTATCATTTTAATCAAGTACAAAATATTTAAATTATTGGAGGGATGTTTCCATACTTAGTGTGGTAATGTTCACTTATATTGTAAAATGTTAATTTTTTGAAAAATGTAAACATTTTAAATGATTTTACCTCCATAATGTCATTAGTGAGATTCTGTACAGACTGTTTATTCTCGTGTGTGAATTTAATCTATTTTAGAATAAAAGCTTTTAAAATAGTTTGTGTATGATGAAGTAGTTAGAAGCTATTTCATCTTTAATAATTGTATAATAAAAATATTCCTCTATTAAAAAAAAAATCAGTGCATTATTTTTGTATTACTGTAAAACAGGGGAAATATATTTAAAAACAAGCGTCTTGCATATTTTTCTCATTAGATATAACTTGAGAGTTATAATTTGTTATACAGTGCACTGTCACTATCATGAACCAGGACAGTAGTTCATAATAGGGATAGCATAGCAAGGAATTGCACTAAACAGTAAAGATCCAGTTTAAACAACATTTTAAAACTTTTACTATTGACTGCTAACATAATGCACAAAAAACAGGAAAAGAAAATCTGCTGAAACTGGCCCATTTGTAATTTTTATTATTCTCTTTCCAGCCCACAACAAAAATGGCTTGGTACATTGCACGCAAACCTTTCGTAGAATACTAAATAAGGTACTGCGATGGTTGTTATTAGTATTGTAAAGTCGATTAGTTTCTTCTGTATTTTACATATGCTAAAAAACATCACAATTCTAGTGAAAACAATGTTATCATTACCCTTGAAGTTAGCTTTTTTACAAATATCTGGTGTTCCTTTAAAAAGATTTAGTACAGGGTGAAGCAGGAATTACCAGCCAATAATAGATCAACGTTAGATGACTGTAACATGTAGATACTCATTGCTTTGTACACTATACAATCGGTGTCTTTAGGAAGCCAATCCTTATATTATGTATGAAGTGAAGGAATAAAAAAAAATCGGAAAATTTTATTACACACGTCCATAGAATAATTAGCTTAAAAATGACACAGATTTATTTAAAGCGACGTTTTAGACATGTATGCTTTATTTGAAAAGGCTGCTTTTCTACTGGTAAATTTATTTACAAGCTTAGTGGGATTGTATCTTAGGCTAGGCATAAACTTGACCATTGCTATGCATGATATATAGAGAGAATTTAGTTACACAGAAACTATAAATGCTCACTATATTCTCAAACAGATCTCCATGACAATCTCCAACTACAGCTTAACATTTTTACATCTCAAACTAATGTGACCAGATAATCAATAGCTACAGTAAGTCATCATGAACTGTACAAAAGCCAGCAAACAAGATAAATAAAAAATTGGGAAACTTGTAAGTAGGATCATCAAAATGTATGCAAGGGCTGGCGATACGGTTGACATTATTTACTCAAACTACAAATCCCTGTTTTGACTCCACCAAACATAATTCTAAATAACAGCATGGAGCCAAAATAGGGGTTTATAGTTCGAGTAAATAATGTAACTCGATACTGTTTTAGTAAATAATGAATGTTTATGGTCTTTCTGGTTGGTTTATGTGAAAGTTTCACGTCGTGAAACAAATAGCTCCGAAACTATTTCATGTAACTTTGCGATAAAGTGTCAAGAAAAAATAGTACTGTTTCCCTTTGACCGTACTAAATCTTTCATCAAAGCTCTTTCAGTAAAACCAACGGGCTTTACTCGAGTGATAG